TGTTTTTCTGCTCTGAAAGAGGAAACAACACAGAGCAGAGAGGTTAAAGGTCAAAGTACAACTGTTCACTTCAACAGCAGCCAATCAGAGAGAGGATCAGAGACCAGTGAGCTCTTCTGTCACAGAGGACAGAAAAAAAAAAAAACCTTCTTGGACTTTATTTTGGGACAAAGTCACCAAACCTCTGCAAAGCTGAGTGAATAATTTTACTATTGAGAAGCACTTTGGTCTTTAAATGTGCTATATAAATAAAGGATTGATTGATTGATAGATAATTTATCAAATAAGAACCTGGCTAAAATTATACCCATTTTAATTTCCTTAATACACCTCAATAAGATCAAATCTCACTCAAATAGAGCAGCAAACACATGTGAGAGCTGACTCTTAGTCAGCCTAGTTTGACAGGCTGGGAGCTGAAGACTGAGTGTCTGCTGTGGGGCAGAGAGAAGTTCCTCCTGTGGAGGTGGTTATTTTGTGTTATTATTTTTTATTAAATTTGTTTGTTTGATTTATTTATGTTTTATTCGGATGCTCAGCACTTCTATCAGAGGTTAAAGATCTCTGACATGATCGATTCTGCACACAGAATCCCTCTGAGTGAAGATCAGAATATATGAAGATGATTGAACATCATATTTCACCTCACATTGCTCCTGTGTGTTGCTGTGCTGCAGTTCTAATGATGATGTCATTTCAGAGCTGTACATTTCTTCCTCTTTAAGGGAAACTTTTACCGTTTCTGCTCCATCGGGATCAGGTGGGACACGGTGGGCGGAGTCTACAGTCAGCAGGTCAACTGTTGAGTTTGTAAACTGGTTTGATTTGTTTTCGCACAGAGATAATACGTCACTACAAACCACGTGAGAACGCTGAGCGCGCTCATTGGTCAGATGTCACAGAAGTATATACAGGTAAAGTGTGCTGTGAGTGAAAACAGAAAGTCGCTTCAGGGCTGGTTGCTGACCCTCACGTAACCTTTGCATATCTGTACTTCCTTCTTGTATTGAGAGTATAAAGCACACATAGCAACGGGACGTTTTTAACCCAAACCTGTAACGCGCGCGCCCGTGCAGGTGTTTGGGATCACGTTCACACCATAAACGAGACCTCCTCCTCCTGAGGGTCTCGGTGGGGTTGTTGCTGTCTGCACCTGAGTGTGATTACTGAGTTCACACCTGCACGAACCAACCGAACCAAACAGGAAAAGAAGATTTTGATTTCAGTAAAGAGTAAAAACACACCTTGCCTTAGTGCCGTTAGCAGTCAGGGTAAAGTTATTGGGAACGGAGGGGACAGGGGCTTTTCGTTTACCTGACCGCACCCCGTAACTCAGGTGTCCTGAGAAAGCTTACACAACCTGCGTATACTTTTTTTTAATTTATTTATTAGATTTAGTCCATCCTTCTGATAATTAACAAGCATTTTTCGGTCACTACATGGACATAAGGCACAGTCTAGGGGAGATTCAACATTTTTACATTAAAAGGCAGCGTAATGTTTCAGAGTCTTGTTCGTGAAGTTGAAACAAAGTAGTACCTGAAGGAGAGCTCACCTGACGAGGCCAAATCCACGACACAGACAAACAGCAGAGTTAAGCAGAGACAGGCTGATGTTAACAGAGTCATTGTAGTTAAACTCGGTACGTCCAAAACATACCGGGGAAACACCACCTGTTTGATCCTCTGCAGCGCAAGTAGCTACAAATGGCGAAAAACTGACACTCATCAATCTACTTTCTGTTTAACCCCGCAATCCATGACGTCACTGCGCGTCACTCGTTGGCGCGTTTCGGAGAAAAATGTTCTGGTTCTTGTCACAGGTCTGTGCTGTGAGGCAGCATTTTGATTTATTCACATAACTTCAGGGTGAGGTGTTCATATATAGAGACAGGGAACCACAAGTGAGCCGAATGAGTGGGGTTGCTCTTTGATTCAAGTGGGTGCAGCAAATACACAGAATGAAAGATTTTCACATTTCAAACTGCGCTGCAAGGCCTGACATTTGGAAATGTCTGAAAGAAAAGTTAATTGTTATTCCAAATTCAAACAAACAGCAGCTGAACTATTTTTAATCACATGAGCTTAAAAACGTAATCAAATACTTTTGTTAAAAAGCTACAAAAACAACAAAATTAGTTTTATTCTTTTAAAGTTGAATCATGTGTATGAACCTGTGTCTGGTTACATAAACTCAGAAGAAGTTATTCCTCAAACATGGCCGCCATCACTGCGCTCATGTAACTGAAAACTACAAACCTGCTGCTGATGATGGTCCGAGGCTCGTGGCTCCACAGGCCACTGATTAGTCAGACGTTCAGGTTCAAGCTCAGCTGAACGTAACATTAAGGTGTCAGTGAGTAGAAATACTACAAAAGCAGAGTAAACGTTCCCCATCTGACAGATGGAAATGTTGGTGTCACATAAATATGATAAAAAAGTCAAAACAAAACAAAACACTGGAGTGAGTTCACTGAATGTATTTATTAATCATATTTAATTAACCCTTTAAGACCGACCATAGAACCAAGTCTACCAGAGCTTACTTCATAGCTAGTTTACGTGGTTCCGATTCTACGGGGATTTAAAAATAGTTATGCAGAACGGAGCGTGCGCGCTCCGACAGGCTTTAAACAGCTTTAGATTCATGGCCTGTTTATGGAGGTTTTAGACATTTTACTTCCTCTTTTTTTTAGCAGCTTTCTGATGAAACAGCTGCAACTTTCTTCCCCCAGACACAGAAAAATGGAGTTCCTGTAGTTTCTGTTTAAACCACAAACAGCTCAGAGAGTAACGGTCACTATGTGCAGCACAAAGCTTTAAAGACAGTTACACATTTCATGTTTCGAACTCACACATATGTATGGCACCAAGTGCAATTTTCCCAAAGTAACAAAGTATTTGTATAGTACTTATTCTATCGTCTAGTATTCTTTCTATTTTGCATAGTATGTTATTCTGTTTATCTGAATCTATTTTATAGGTTTTTTTTCTATTGGTTTTACTGCTCTTGTACTTGAATTCAGCCTGATTTGTTTTTCATGTCTTCTCCTCCATCATCAGTTATCAGGAGAGCAGACAGTCAAAGTACAAGAATTCAAACAAACACAGAGATTCTACTTACAGAGCAGACACAGCACAGATGTTTCCTTCATCGTCCTTCTCACTCATTTGAGCTTTTTTTCTGTCACTGACACCAAGTAAAGCCCGCCCTCTTCCTCTGAGCACGTATTCTTCCTCCATTCATACAAACAGTGGCCGATCACTAACTTCATTAAGATTCATGTGATGAAGCTATTCTAATATATACCTATGAGCACACCGACACTATTTTCTCCCTATTTTGCCTCCAATCAGTTGCACATTCTTTAAAAAGTGATCTTGAGCAACAGTTCTCCAGGATGAAGGTTTGTCTCTGGACTTTGGCTCCTTCCCGCACATTTTTAACAGTCCTTGCACCTGATCCATGAATCATTCAGGTATAAAAATTCAAATTGATTAACCAGTTTTGTTTCTAAACAATTTTTCAAATAAACAAAGAACCAACATTAAACTGTAACTTCAGAGACTTTATTACAAGCAACCTGTCCCAACAACACATTTGCTTCCATTTCTTTAGTTAGATTTAGGGAACCTGCCAAAGATAAGACAGTTTGACAGACAGAATAATAGAATTGCACCGACAATCTGATTCTTTAACGGATATCTTAAAACTTGGAGTATCTCAGTACAGTGTGCAGTGGGTCCTTAAAAATCTGATTAAACTGGACAAGTGAAAGAGAAACGAAGTAGTATCAGGCCTACAAAAACAACTATCTGCAGCAGATGAACAGTCTGTGAAAGTCATGTCCTGAAGAAACAGGACCTGAGAGATGCATCTGAGCCTTCAGTTGATTCATCTACTGTTCACTGAAGTCTCATCAGTGAACAGTTTCATGTTGTGGAGCTTCATTTCAGTCGCTGTTGATGATCTAGTTAAAACTGATGAGTCCCCCATGCAGTACCTCCTGTAAACACACTGTTGAAGCATATTTGGATGGAGCAGCACACAGTTGACTATCAGTCATGAACAGCTGTTACACATGAGTAAGAAGCTACTTTGTATTTAAAGAGATGGGAAAGCATTGGATCAGCTCCTCATCGCCCCCTGCTGGTTACTTTATGAGTTGAGCTGTTTCATATAACGTGATGTAAAGAAGTGTGACTCTCCAGTGAAGCACGATGAGAGTCGTTATCCACACATGGAGAAAACGTGGAACAGTGGTGAAGCTTTGTGGTGTAGTGAAATAAGCCGTCGATGCTTGAGTGACTGAACTCAGTTCTTCAAAGATCAGCGTGACAGCTGCCAACAAACTGGCACAACCAGTTACTCAGTTCAGGAGGTGTTCACTGTTTCCCAGCACTACATTTATATACAGCATGTTGGTGCACAACAATCTGGTACAGGAAGCAGAATAGTCTCAGTCTGCAGGTGTAACAGCTGCACTCTGCAGAAAAACTGAGACAATCACTGCTCTGTGCTCTTATTGGTCAACTGCACATGACTGAGGGAAACATTAGAAAAGAAACAAGTACAATAATAATAAAAGAACAAAAACATGTCGGTGCTTGTTTTGAGACGTGAGGAATTGCCCTTTTTCCTCCTATGCATATGTGGCTGTGTGTTCCTCTGGTGACAGTTTTTGACTTAAACACAATTTGATCAATTTAAAGAGAGAAACTCAGACAGCAACTGTGAACTTTCAGTATCACAGGCATTAATAACACCTCCCAACACTTCGAGTGGCCACGTCGTAGCTTCTATATACAAGTTTACAGCAGACGGATAAATTAAGCAGTAGCTTAACTAGTATCTCGATCAAATGATAATAAGGCAGTGCCTCTCAGCTCTCCTCCTCAGAATTTTTGTCTACTGGCTTTAATATGTTTAATAAATCCATTGATTTTTTTTACCTTCTTAATATGAATATTTTTAAGGGTTTTTAAACCATCGTTGTTATTGAAAAATATTTAATGTGTTTAATGTGCTTCTGTAGGAGTTTTCAACAAACATCAGTTTTTAAACTGTGTTTTCATTTTAGGGTTTTTTAAACCTTGTGATGGTCGTCAGGAGACTTATAGCTCCTGACTCTGAATCTCAGCATCATTATTGCAGTAAATGCAAAGAAAGATCCCAAAACAACACAAAAGAAAACCTGAAACAATCCCACCAATAAATGACAGACCGATTTTAAGTCCAACAGGGATATCCTTTATCCCTCCATCCTCCGTGTCTCCCTGGTGACCTGCAGGAGAGAAACAGGAGGGTGTCAGCATTCATGATGAGTGAAGAACAGAAGAGAATCTAACCCAACGTCAGGAAGCAGCTTCACCTCTGATCACACAAACTGAACTCTGCTCACTCACCTGGAGGAAGAACACTCATGTTGACGGTTCCCACGATCTCCCATGATGCGGATTCTCCCACAATGACACGACACTCGTATGTTCCAGCATCATTAATCGTCACATCCTTCAGAATCAAAGACACGTCTCCATCCTTCATCTGTCTGTCCTGCAGATCCACCCGGTTCTTAAAAGATGGATGCTGATTTGTTTGATCAAACAGCTCATCTCGGTACAAAAGCACATATTTATCTCCCAGGTCAGCTCTGCTCCACTTCACAGCTCTGATGGGTTTGCCTTGTGGAGCTCGACATGTCAGAGTGACGTTCTGTCCAGACTCAGCTGTGATGATTTTCTGCTCTGAAAGAGGAAACAACACAAAGCAGAGAGTTAAAGTACAGCTGTTCACTTCTACAGCAGCCAATCAGAGTGAGGATCAGAGACCAGTGAGATCTGCTGACACAGAGGACAGAAAAAAAACAACAACCTTCTTGGACTTTATTTTGGGACAAAAACCTCTGATGCAGTTTATCAGGTTTGACTCCTGTTTGTATGTAATCAGTGTTTATGTCCTTGTGTCTTATGAAAGTACTGAGCGAGTTGTGGATCTCCCTGCTGAATAACACAGCAAGCATATAGATAGTGAAGGTGTGGAGAAGGGAGAAATACAGAGCAAGACTACGGTGAGATATTATATATCCTGCAGATACTCCAAAGACAGCGAGAGCAGTGGTTCAGGTCAGACACACAGAGAGCAACGAGGAGACGGATTTAAAAGTGAGCGTGTCGGGAAAGAAGAAACAAGGAAAAACAGGAAAAACAAGCTGTGCTGAATTTCAAAGACACAGGATATTAGAAAGCTGAGTGCAGAATTTATAAAATGATTATTTTCAGCCTTTTTTCCACTGTGGAGGACAAACACACAGGCCTGTGTTCTCACAGGTTGTATTAAATGTTTAAAAAAAATACACTTTTATGAAAATACTGAATAAAACGTTTAACTAAAAATAAAATTTATAGTTCAGTGTTGAATATTAAATAAAATATAGTATATAAAAGTGCATTTAAATGGAGTCACGGCTCAGTGTCTGACAGTCTAACTGTGTCTCACAGGCCTGAATGTCAGCTTGAAGCCATTATTGTCGTTATAATGTGGATGTTTCCATCAGATCACAAACAATATTTACTTCAGCAGGATTTTTATATTTGAAATTTTATCATTTGTCCCAAAAAAAAGGAAGCCAAAAATATCCAAAAGTTTATTTTACTTTCAGTTGTTGATCCTGTTTGGACACAAACATCTGTACTTGGTGAGTTTGCCTACCTGAGTGAGGTGAGCTTTAAGTCTCTCCAGCCAGGATCAGAACTGTCTGAATTCTCTAAATAGTAAAAAAGGAGCTTCGAGGTTTATTATGTCCTTTAGCAGAGAAGACAAAGTTTTAATTGTGTGTTATTATTTTAATTGAGGTGTTTCTGTTATTTATTTATATTTTATTCTGACGTATTTGATCCTGTGTTCAGCACTTCTGTCAGAGGTTAAAATCCCTCATAAATAAAGTTCATGATGATTGAACATCACATTCCTCCTGTTTGTTGCTGTGCTGCAGTTTTTACGATGGTGTCATTTCATAGCTGTAAAATCACGACCTTTACTTTAATGTCCCGTCAGTATGTGGGAGCTGAATCTTCAGCCTGCTCCTTAAAATCGCAACCTTATAATGAAGGGAAACTTTCACTGTTTCTGCTCCAGCGGGATCAGGTGGGACACGGTGGGCGGAGTCTACAGTCAGCATGTCAGCTGTTGAGTTTGTAAACTGGTTTGATTCGTTTACATACAGAGAAAAGGCGTCGCTACAAACCACGTGGGAACGCTCAGCCCGCTCATTGGTCAGACTCACAGAAGTATATACAGGTGTAGTGTGCTGTGTGAGGAAACAGAGTGGTTTCAGGGCTGGTTGCTGACCCACACAGACCTTTACACATCTGTACTTCCTCCCTGTATTGAGAATATAAAGCACACGTGGCCACGGGACGTTTTTAACCCAAACCTGTAACGCGCCCCTGGCAGCTGGTTGGGATCACGTTCACACCATAGCAAACCCCACCGAGACCGGCTCCTTCAGAGGGTCTCGGTGTCGTTGTCCACACATGAGTGTGATTACTGTGTTCACACCTGCACAAACCAACCGAAGCAAACAGGAAAACAAGCCTGAACACCCCAAGCCACACCCACATGATTTACAAATCTGTCAGTTTCTCTGATCTCCTCATGAAGTCTCCTGCACATCCCAAAAGTTGATTCTGTTCATCTGGACGTAGCGTTTTCAGTGGGAGAAACGTTTGGTCACTCATCCAAGTGACTTCTTCAGTCTCAGCTGACTGCAGGTTTCCCCAAACTTATAAACAGCACTTTTGCATAATGACTGAAACCAGCCCAGTGAAGGAACAATGGGCTGGGAGGTCAGTTCCTTAATCATTAATGTGCAAGTTCTCCTGCACACCTTTCCTTTAGCTTTTGTAACGTCATTTATGGTGGTCTGGATAGAGTGACAGGAAAGGAGGGCAGAGGGGCTTCTTGTCTACCAGACCGAACCCCTGCCTCGTAGCTCAGGTGTCCCGAAGCAGCTTACACAAGCTGCGTACACTCTTTTTAAAATAATATATCCTTCTAAAAACAAAACAGTATATTTCGGTCTAACCGTTTTTGTCCACTACCAGGACATAATGCACAGGCGGGGTCTCGGTTTTTTTTGACAGTTTGACAGTAAAGGAGAGCGGTGTTCATGAAGAAAAAGGAAGTAGTACCTGAAGGAGCGCTCACCTGAGGAAGCCAAATCCACGACACAGACGAACAGCAGAGCCACGCAGAGACACGCTGATGTTAACAGAGTCATTCTAGTTTAACTCGGTATACGTCTAAAATATACCGGAAAAACACGACCCGTGGATCCTTTATGGTGCAGGTATAAACAGAACTAATTAACATGCGCCCACTAATCAGTGTGCTTTTGAGGCGTTTACGCCGCATCACAGTGACGTCACTGCCGAGGCGCGAGACACTGTTTTCAGTGTGAATTAGATTCTTGAGCAGTACTTTTAAAACGGCAGCTTAGAAACCCACTGAATGAAGCACAAACTCAGTGTCTTTACAACAGGAGTGTTCATGTGTTCATTCGGCAATTTGGAAAAAATATAAAATATCGTCGTCCTACATTCAACTCTGAGTCTTTAAAGCTGCTGGAAACACAACACAAAGAAAACCTGCTCAGCCTGCTCAGACCACGCCCTCGTTTTAGGTTTGACAGCATTTCTACTCGATGATGACTTCAGTGTGAACTGAGGCTGCAGTGTGGGGAAGGCCTCAGAGAGTGGCTGCTCCCGGCCGGGCAGAGATCGTGTACGTATGAGAAGTGAATGAATGAATGAATGGGAGGGACACGAAGACAAGAAGAACAGCGTGTAGTGGCGGGGGCCGTATATAGAGAGGGAACCAGAAGTGAGCCGAATAATGGGCACACCATGCAAGCAGGCAGATACAGAGGCAGACTAGCATCTATACCATTTAGTTTGTTTCTTTTACAAAAAAACCCAAAGTAACAGCTCAGTGTTGAATAAAACATAAATTATATAGAAATGTATCTGAATGCACCAAAGAATCATAGCTCAGTGTCTGAGAGTCTGACTGAGGCCCACAGGTATGAATGTGCCTGTGGGACTTGAAGCCATTACTGTTGTTATAATGTTGATGTTTTCATCAGATCATAAACATTTATTTTAAAGGCTTCATCAGCATTTTTATGTTTAAAAATAAAGGGTTAATCCAGCTGGTATGTAGGTGAAAATGAACTTCTCAAGGTAGTGTAATGAGCTCCTTCCTCTTTTTAATGATGGTTAAAGATCATTATGAGGACGTGTAAGAGTCTGATGACACGGCCATCGTGAAAAGAAGAATAAAGGAGCAGATGTGAGCAGCTGGACTATTTTAAATCACATGATCTTAATAATATAATGCAAGACTTTTATTAA